AAGCTAGCTCATGTGTTAATTGATTTTCGGAAGCACCACAAATTGATGGTCTAAACTCATAATGATGAATATTTGGTTCAAGGCAATTTGATGATCATTGGCATCTGTACTGAAATTCATGATGGTTAAACTGGAAAGGAGAGAAACAGTACATATAGGAGTCAATAGCAATAGATAAAGTCATTTGATTGAATTTGATGATCAGTTGTTTTCAAGACTTTGATTCAATTTGAAAAAAAAAATTTGAATTTGTTCTCTCTACTAGAAGTAATAGGGCAATTTTGACGATAAGTACGTACTTTTATAGTGACAACACAATAGTGAATGTTGGTTGATAAACTAAACTATTACTTGCCCATTTAAATAAGCAATTATGGTTTTGCACGACTCTATCACCTCCTGGTCCTCAATTTTCTCTCACTTCAGATACCATTATTCTGAAGGTTTAGTCCCCTCCATCACTTCAGATTCTGTTTACCTCGCATTTTGCCAATTCTTCTTTTTTTTTTTTTGGAAAGTTAAAAGACCAAAATCTCTTTGTTGCTGAATAAACGAAGCTATGAAGAGCATACATTGAGGAGAGGTTTTTTTTTTTTTCGAATTATTAGTCATTTGAGTGAGCAAAATTTGGCATCTGTAATGTTTTATTTTTCTTTTTTCTTGTATTTGTTTCTTATGCTAAATCTCTGGTGAATAGCAGTCAAAAGTGTAAAGTGTGTGCTTAAGTGCAGATCCCAGTATAGCACATAGGTTGTGGCTATTGACATGTGAAGTGGAGCAACTTTATATTAAGCACAGTAAAGTAAACATTTCAAGTGAAAAGGGCATACAGTTCAGAAGAAGTTGCACTAAGTTCAACCTTTTTATTTTAGTTTCTTCATAGATTGTTAAAGTACATAGCATAAGCGATGGTGGATTCATGGTTCATTTGCTGATTTCTTTTAATTAAGGACACATAACCATGATGACTTGACTTCTATATGTTAGTATAAAATGTATAGTGAGAAATATTAATCATGGTAAGCCCTGTAAGTTTTAGCCGATTGCACATGTCCATGGTTGCATGATATGATGAAAATGATGTATAGTTTGTGAACCTGATTTCAGTCATCAGCTGACTGTGGTGTACGAATTGCCTTGCACTTTTCAGAAGTTCTTTGTTGTTATACACAACGAGTAACTATTGAATGTGTTAAACTCTGAAGGCTCCAATTAAGAGCATGATTTGTACTAAAAGAAAATATAGCATGAAGTTTGCTTTGGAAGAAGAAAATGGCCTATGTAGTCACATATAGTTAAGGCCTTGTATGTTTTCTTTCACGTTAGGATATGTACAGTTATCCTCATTTAAAATTCTAAGAGATTTGATTTGGAAATGGTGTCTAGTGGTCGAAATTGGAGTTTCTTGGAGTCAAATAGTATTAAACACATAGTAGAAGATTGAGCAATTCTAGTTCATGCACAATGGTAAAGCCAAAAAAAAAAAGCTTAATCTAAAGTATACACTGAGAATGAATGTTGCTGGACTTTTACAACTTTTCTTGATTTCAGGAATGCCTGTACCTTTCGTTTCTCTCTGTCTCTCTCTCTCAACAAATTTAGTTGCTTACGACAGTTTGGATATATTTCCAGATATGGACAGAGATGCAAAATGACTTCCTGCCAAACTTCATCCTATGCAACACAACTCAGCGTTTTGTTCGATCATCAAGAGTTCCTATTGTTCCCGTTCAGAAGCCATCGGTCCCCTATGCAAAGCCTAATTTCTACTGTGGTACTCAGGTAAGAAAATATCACTAAATCAATAAATTCAATCAATAGTTCAAAGTTGATTCATCCAGTGTAGCTTTATTGCAAGGTCAACATTCTGTTTTATGAAAATATTTCAACGGGTTACACATGGTAAATAAATTGCTTTGAGTCAAACACCTGCAAATGGCTGCGTGGCTTGCTTTCCTTGCTATGTCCTCTTCCAAGTACCTTTCCTTTTTTTAATCTCATATGATTTCAGTAATAGCTCTTTTGCTAAAATACCAACAAATCAAAAACCTACTCGTGCTTTTGTCTCCTAAGTTGAGCTTAAATGGTGCTAATAATGGTCTGCATTGTGATTTGCACAAACATTTGGTTAGAGGCTTAAAATGGGAAAAGTTAGGCTTTGGACGTTTTACTTCATTATTCGATATTACTATTGTTGACATATTACCATAACAAGTTTGGCTGGGTAAGTACATGAAAAATTAATTAATGTGGGTGAGTTGGAGCCATGGAGAAAATATTTGATAACCCTAACTGACTGCCCAATGGAGGAATGGACTGCGAAGGGTAACATAAGTCTAATTAACGGATGGTAGGAAATGGTTGCTCAAGTAGGATTGGTTCTTGTAATTTTTCTATTTTAGTTGGTAGACTATCCTATTTCCTCATGTCTACAAGTTGGAGATATCTGAAACAGAAAGATCAAGTATATGCTCCACTTTACAAAAATTGAATGCCCGACATGTTTCCTTCTTTGATTACGATAATGATTAAAACTTCTAATATTGGGATTTGGTACTTTCTAAATCATAAATAGCTTATTGGAGTGTGTGAGTCTCTCTGAATGGTTTAAGAAATATGTTGAGGGTCAGACGTTACCCTCTTCTTTTCTACATTGTTTTGGCTGTGTGTTTGAATGTCACCATTTTTACACTCCCTCCTAAAACTTACATGAAGTCAAACTGGAAACTTCAGTTTTGAATTCAGTGTCACAAAATTTGCTTGCTATATTTGCTACTAAGGTGCCGAAATCTGGTAAAACACTACAAAGATAGGATGCCTTATCATTTTTTCAGTACTGGCAAAACATTGAAAAGAGTTAATTGAAGATGATGTCCAAAGTATAGGATTCAACGATTATGCAAGTTGCTGTCTTTCTCTAGAAGCTTTGTTCATTAGTTCTTCATACCTCATTTTCTTGCTGTTGGTCTTCAACTGCTTGTTTTTGTTTGAGTGGTAGTACTTGATAACCAAACCTTCTCATAAACATTTATCAACTTGTCCTTGTTTTTTGCCCTTTTTGTAGGATCTGAATTCAGCATACCAGAGTTTTGCTCGATTACATAGTGGATTTTTTGGGATACCTCACATGTACTCCATTGTTAGGCTACTGGGTTCTAGGTCACTGCCTTGGCTTATCCGAGCTCTATTAGATCATTTATCAAATAAGGTACATGTTACCTGACATATAGCTAAATTATAGTTCTTTTTGTGGTTGATAAATTTAACGCTTTTCAGATTGCTGATGCATTTATATCTTTCTTTATGTTCATCTTGTTTTTGTTGCTTTTTGCATTCCTGCGTATGCCAGGAACTCTTTTATTCAACTTCCTTTTTTTTCTTTTTTTTTTTCTGACTTCCTGGTTATTATTTAGTGCATCATTACCTGTGCATCTTACTTTGGAAATACATGTAATTTTCTATGTTCTTATACTCTGGCTACTTGGGTTAGACGGTAAGTTTGATAACTCAACTGAAAGCCATCTACTAATTATCAGAATATCTTCCACAAAATGCCAGTCAGAAGAACCTAAAAGCTGCACTTCTCTTTCCAGCTATAAGTGCCTGTGCCAAAGTTTCCCAAGTTTGGAGTGCATTGTAATTCCTGTTGTAGTGTTATCCCCCTTTCTGACAGCTCAGTGTATTGTCCTTTTGTTGCTTGCTTTAGTGATGGCTAGATCATGCAAATGTGGATTTGCTTTGAACATGTTTGAGAAGAAAATGATATCTGGTGTAGCAGTCTTCAGTTTTTCTGTTTCTTTCTCGATAAAAAGCATCTTAGGAACCTGAGCAAGTGCTTATGGAAATCAGAAGCATTTTTTATGGCCTTTATATAGCTTAGGATACTTGCTGATGTATTGTCACATAAAAAATTGTGCAGTCCTCCCTTTTCCACATGTTGCCGAAGGCTTGCTATAAGTTGGTTGCTAGATGGTTTATTTGTATGTAAATTACTTTTTGCAAAGCATTCCAAGTTTTTTATTCTGAAAAAATCAGAATTTGGAGAAGCACACACATCAGAAAACCTGCAGATGCTCGGCTTCTTATTAGGAGTCGGATTTTAAAGTACCCCATTTTGGTTGATCAAATTGATAGAATATATAAGCTGGAACCCAAATAGTTGCAAACTGTTGCGCACCTATGGAGGTCATAATTTCCTAAGGAAAAAACTGACTGTGTCATTAGATAATGTAGGTGCATTTAAACATGCCTTGAGAACATCAAAAGCATATAGATCTATTTTAGGCGGTCTCCAAGTCTGTGATGTAGATCTAGTTCAGTACAGTTGTAAGAATTTGACCTCCACTGAGGGAAAGGGAGGATAATAAGTTTGGTTGTACATATATATCTTTGCGATTCTTATAAATCTGTTATGGTAGTTTTGCGTGTGATGTATAGGAATCATTTTAGGTTTAGGTTTAAGGGATCTAGAGTTTGGGATACAGAATCTCCAGGTTTTCTAGGGTTTGGGATTTATTAGCTGATTTTGTAGAATTCAATTGCAAATTATGTTTAATTTTTGAAGCTTTTGCCTATCTTCTTTTCTGGTTATTTGAGTTTCAATTTCCATGTAGCATTTTCCTTGTTTATCATTGATCTTTTTGTTTTGATTTTGCAACTAGCTCTGCTTGCAATTCTTGTTGCAAGAGACCTGTACAATCCAACTTTTCATGTCTTCTATTGATGTTGCATACGTCGTAATCATTGTTGTCTTCAAATGAACAACCTAGCCTAAACATGTGTATCCATTTATGCTTCGCTTTTGGATCTTCAGTAACATATGAACTATTTTTGATACATGTTGTTATCTTTTAAAGCTTATCTCATCTTATTTCAGATAACATCGCTTGAGCCAATGGTTACAGGTTTGCAATAGGGCCCTCGAAAGGTTTCAGAAGTTTTTCCCACCGAAGTTTATTGGAGGGCCAGATCTGGATGTGGCCGAGAGATGGCTAGAAAAGATGGTGGACATCTTTGCTGCCCTGCATTACACAGAGGAGAGGCAGGTGACTTTTGTTGTCTTCCAACTGGAAGGGGCAGTCCGTTCCTGGTGGAACGTAATAAGACAGAAATGGGACCGAGAACAGATGCCCAGGACATGGGTGAACTTCATGAGGGAGTTCAACGCTAAATTCTTCCCTCCTCTGATTCAAGAACGGAAGGAAGACGAGTTTATCCGGTTTCGCCAGGGAACTCAGACTGCAGCCGAGTACGAGAACCAATTCACTCGACTGTCCAAATTTACGCCCGAACTCATCATGACCGAACAATGAAGAATAAGGCGCTTTGTCCAGACTCTGAACGTGGAGATCCAGAAGGATTTAGCTGTAGTCCAGATTAACACCTTCAGTGATGTAGTGGAGAAGGCTCAACAAGTGGAAAATGCCAGGCTACAAGTGAGAAACTTCCAGGCAAAGAAGCGAGGATTTTCTGAAAGTAGTTCGGAACAGGGGGATAAGAGTACCCCTCCCAAGTTTGGACGGGGAACTGGAGAAGGAAGGATGCCGGGAATGTCAAGAGGGGCCCCGTCAAGAGGTGGACAAGTTGGGAGAGGTCAAAGAGGAGGTTTCCAAGGAGGTTCAGCTTCTGCATCTCGCGGACCCTGCGAGTATTGTGGAAAGTCAAACCACACGGAGGACAATTGTTGGAAGAAAGAGATAAAATGTTTGCGTTGCGGAAGTGCAGACCACCAGCTTGCCAATTGTCCGGTTCTATCACGAGATGGAAGGGGAAGCCAGCAACCGACGATGACCAATTCCGAACCAGCTAAGGTGGAAGGGACTAAACCCAAGGTATCGGCTCGAGTATATTCACTGGGGCCACAACAGGTCCCCGATTCTTCTGAAGTTGTAGAAGATACGATTCCTGTATTCCACCGATTTGTGAAAGTTTTAGTAGATCCTGGTACTACTCACTCATTTGTCAACCCCAATTTCATGCGCGGAATTGATATAAAGCCTGCTAGTTTACCTTATAACCTGGAAGTTAGCACTTCTACGGGGAATCACCGTTTGATCACTAGTATGATTTATAAGGATTGTGAAATTTGGGTAGGAGAGAGAAAATTGTTAGGGGATTTGATAAGCCTGTTCATTAAGGGGTATGACGTAATTCTAGACATGGGCTGGTTAGCCCGGTATAATGCCCAACTTGATTGTAAGCGGAAAATAGTGGAGTTTCGTATTCCTGGGGAGGCGACCTTGAGGTTAGATATAAGGGGTAGGTTGGCCTCATCTGCATTGATTTCGGGTATTCGGGTTAGGAAACTACTAAGTAGAGGGGCGCAAGGATTCTTAGCTTTTCTTATCAACACCCCTTCTGACAAACTAAAGGTAGAAGATATACCAATAGTAAGTGAATATCTGAAACGTATTTCCTAATGAGTTAGTAACTCTACCCCTGGAGAGAGAGATAGAATTCAAAATTGATCTGTTACCAGGGACGTCACCTATCTCTAAAATCCCATATCGGATGGCACCTGCTGAGTTTAAGGAGTTAAAGTTGCAGTTACAAGATCTTTTGGAGCCAGGGTTTATTCGAGAGAGTGGATCTCCTTGGGGAGCCCCTGTGTTATTTGTGAAGAAAAAAAATGGGAGTTTACGAATGTGCATAGACTACCGGGGGCTGAATAATGTGACGGTTAAGAATAAGTACCCGTTGCCTCATATAGATGAGTTGTTCGACCAGTTGCAAGGAGCGGTAGTCTTTTTGAAATTAGATCTTCGACAGGAATACTATCAATTGTTGATTAGGAATGAGAACATACCAAAAACTGCTTTCAATTCTAGATACGGGCATTTTGAGTTTGCAGTCATGCCCTTTGGACTGACCGATGCCCCTGCTGCCTTCATGGATTTGATGCATAGGATTTTTAAACCCTATTTGGATCGATTTGTAGTTGTATTTATTGATAACATCCTGGTTTACTCAAAGACTCGTGAGGAACATGAACAACACCTGAAAATCGTCTTGTAAATCCTAAGAGAACATCAGTTGTACGCCAAGTTTAGTAAGTGTGAGTTTTGACTCGAGAAAATTTCTTTCTTAGGGCATGTAATTTCCCAAGAGAGCATCTCTGTTGACCCGGCGAAAGTAGAGGCCGTGACTGATTGGAAGAGGCCAAAAAATCCTACGGAGATTCGTAGTTTTCTAGAGTTGGCTGGGTACTATAGGCGTTTTATTAAGAACTTTTTCAAACTTGCCGGTCCTTTAACCGACCTGACGAAGAAAAATGGTCGTTTTATGTAAGATGCCAGGTGTGAAGCTAGTTTTCGAGAGCTGGAGAAAAGATTAACCATGGCGCCGATTCTAGCTTTGCCTAACAGAATAGATAGTTTTACTGTTTATACCGATGTCTCGCGGGAAGGTCTGGGGTGTGTGTTGATGCAAAATAAGAATGTGATATCTTTTGCCTCTAAAAAATTGAAACCTCACGAGCAGAATTACCCAACCCACGACCTGGAGTTAGCTGCAGTTGTTTTCGCTCTGAAAAAGTGGAGACACTATCTATACGGGGTAACTTTCGAGGTTTGCTCTGACCATAAGAGTCTTAGATACCTCTTCTCACAAAAGGAATTGAATATGAGACAGCGGCGATGGATGGAATTCTGGAGGACTATGACTGTACCATTAATTACCATCCGGAAAAAGCTAACATGGTGGCCGATGCCTTAAGTCAAAAGGCTCAAGTAGTGAGATTAATGATTAAGGAATGGGATCTGTTGGAATCGATTTGTGAGTGAAAACCCTGTCTTGGAAGTCATAAGGTGATTTTTGGTAATGTTAAAGTAACATCCACTCTACCGGAACGGATTAAAGAGGCCCAGAAGGAAGATTCTATGGTACGGAAGTGGGGTGAGAAAGCGAAAAAAGGAGAATTGTCAGATTTCAATCTAAGTCCCGAGAGAATTTTGAAATACCGAAACCGAGTGGTGGTGCCCAAAGATAAAATGTTAAAGAAGGAGATCTTAGGGGAAGCTCATTGGTCCAAATACACGATCCATCCGGGTAGTAGCAAGATGTATCAGGACCTAAAAGGAGCCTATTGGTGGACAACATGAAGAAGGAAATTGCTCAATACGTGCAAACGTGTCTCATCTGTCAACAAGTTAAGGCGGAACATCAAAAATCATCTGGATTGTTACAACCTCTTGAGATACCCGAATGGAAGTGGGAAAACATTACAATAGACTTTGTTTCAGGTTTGCCGCGAACACAACGAGAACATGACGCCGTTTGGGTGATCGTCGATCGGTTAACCAAATCGGCTCATTTCTTGCCGATAAACATGAAGTATTTCATGGATAAATTAACCCAAGTGTATGTGGATGAGATAGTAAGACTACACGGAGTTTCAGTGAGCATAGTCTCCGACTGAGATCCTCGTTTTGTATCTAGGTTTTTGCAGAAATTTCAAGAGACCTTGGAGACTAAACTCAACCTTAGTACCACTTATCATCCCCAAACGGATGGACAGTCGTAGCGAACAATTCAAACTCTCGAGAATATGTTAAGGACTTGTATTCTGGATTTTGGGGGTCACTGGGGTCAACACATGATCTTAGTAGAGTTTGCTTACAATAACAGTTACCATTCGTCAATTCAAATGGCACCGTACGAAGCTCTATATGGGACGAAGTGTCGATCGCCGATCTATTGGGATGAAGTCGGCGAAAGAAAGGTTCTAGATCCAACAACTATTCCATGGATGGAGGATGCATGAGAAAAAGTCAAGTTGATACGACAAAGATTCCAAACAACCCAAAGCCGACAAAAGAGCTACACGGACAATCGAAAAAAAGATTTGGAGTTCGAAGTTGGGGACCGCGTCTTTCTTAAGGTCACACCGTTACGTAGCGTTACAGCGGGTAAAGGAAGAAAACTTCAACCGAGATTCATTGGACCTTTCAAAATTCTCCAAAGAATTGGAAAAGTAGCGTATCGACTTGAACTACCCTCAAGTTTGTCCAGGATTCACTACGTCTTTCATGTCTCGATGCTTAAAAAGTATTACCGTGACCCGACCCACATTTTGCAACCGGAGGAGATTGAGATAGATGAGTCACTCACCTATGAAGAGAAACCTGTACAGTTGCTTGACCGAAAAGTTAAGGAGCTGAGAAACAAGCAAATTCCTTTGGTGAAGATTTTGTGGAAAAATCATGGGATAGAAGAGGCTACCTGGGAGGTGGAAGAAAAAATGCAAAAAAAATACCCTGAACTGTTTGTGAATTAAGGTGAGAAATTTCGAGAACGAAATTCTTCTAAGGGGGAGAGAGTGTGAGAACCCGAAATTTTCTTATTTTCTTGGCTTTGTTTTATTTATTTGCACGCCTATTCTCTATTTTCTTTATTAGGAAAATTTTCTAAATAATTTTTATGAGTAAATATAGTTTTAAAATTATTTTCTACTATAAGTTAGTTCATGAGAAATTAGGAGTGTATACGGAACGTGGGACCCGCTAGTGCATTAAGTGTGAATTATTCGGCCACTTAGGTTAAATTTTGCATAAATAGGTTAAATTACTAGGTGTTAGGAGATCATTAGAGGTTTCCTAGATGGATTAACATTGAAGAGACAAAAGGATAACTTTAAACCTAAAAGGTGACAAGTGTCACTTTCTTATTCAAGTTGGACTTTGACCATCTTACACCAACTTTACTAAATAACCAAAAATTGACCAAAAATCATCATCATGTTCATCCTCTTGGCCGAGCTTCACAAGAAGAAAAGAAAGGAAAGCCTTCAACTTGTTTCTTCATTTCTTACTTCAATCTTGTGATCTAACCGTTAAAACTTCAAATTACTCCATAAAAACCCTTGGCTAGGTAGGATTGAGGAAGGTGGTGGAGTGGTTTGGAAAGAGGGGGTGCTAAGTTGCTTCTTTTCTTGAGTTTACAAGGTGAGCTGCTAAGAAATTCTCCCTTTGTTCTTGATAATGTTAGATTAGTGGCTTTAGTGGCTAAATATGTTGATTTGTGGTAGGTTTATGGTTGAAAGTGGAGTTTTGATGAAATTTTGATTTATTAGTGATTTTTTCTATTTTTATATGATAATCATTGTTTACTTATGGATTGATGACTTGTTATAGTGTAAAATGGAGCTTGTATATGTTGGATATGATTGTTTGCAGAAAATTTCTGGTTTGTGCGGAAATTTTGGTTTAAGGTTTCATAATTGGGGCTTTTCTAAGGTTTGTTGTGGAACTTTTGATTTGCTATGATTAAAGGGTATTGTAACCCTAATAAGGTGTGTTGGATAGTGTGTGAATTGTTGTTGTACTTGTGATTGTGTTGGATGAAATAGATGGTTGTTTGTAGGGTGGAAATCCGAAATTTTAAGAGGAAATGCTGCCCAAATTTTAAGTCCATATGATTTCTTGGAATTGGGTTACTTAGAGTGCTAATGAGTGACTTTGGGGTTGTCTAAACCTTTAGCACCAAGTGTTCCTTATTTCACTTTCAAGTTCTTTTGGCTTTGCATTAGTAGTATGTGGATTAGGTTTATGACTCGTGTTCGAGTCTAATTGTGCTTTCTTGAATGTTTTAGGGCGTGCTGGTGACCCAAGGCGCTCATTGGGCAGAAATTTGTGAAATCACTTTGTTTAAATTGGTGAGTGTACTACTCACATGATTGTTACTTCATGACTTTGTTAAATTTGAAATCTATTATTGGAATGCTTGTGATTACTGAGGATATTGTTGGAAACGAGGGTGTACTTTATCACTCTCGTACTCTATGGCTTATTTGACTGTTTACTGTATCACTGGAAACTCTCTTGATTATACTTGAACTGATGTCGTTTGGACGTGCATCCAACGACTTTTACTGTTGACTCTGAGCTCAACTCCATTGGTGGTCAATTGAATCGAGCCAGCAAAGGCATGGTTGAAGAAATTGACAA